ATGAAACAACCCTGAGACAGGTACAGTTTCATGCACCAACCCTGAGACAGGTACAGTCTCATACACCAATCCAGAGACAGGTACAGTCTCATGAAACAACCCTGAGACAGGTACAGTTTCATGCACCAACCCTGAGACAGATACAGTCTCATACAACATCCTTGAGACAGGTAGAGTCCCATACACCAACCTTGAGACAGGTACAGTCTCATGCATCAACCCTGAGACAGGTACAGTCTCATACACCAACCTTGAGACAGGTAGAATCTCATACACCAACTTTGAGACAGGTACAGTCTCATGCACCAACCTTAAGACAGCTAAAGTCTCATACACCAATCCAGAGACAGGTACAGTCTTATACACCAATCCAGAGACAGGTACAGTCTCATGCACTAACCCAGAGACAGCGGTACAGTCTCTTACACCAGCCCTGAGACAGGTACAGTCTCATGCACCAACCTCAAGACAGGTACAGTCTCATGCACCAACCCTGAGACAGGTCCAGTCTCATGCACCAAAAACTTTGAGACTGGCACAGTCTCATGCACCAACCCTGCGACAGGTATTGTCTTATGCACCAACCCTGAGACAGATACAGTGTCATACACAAAGCTTGAGACAGGTACAGTCTCATGCACCAACCTTGAGTCAGGTACAGGCTCATGCACCAACCCTGAGACAGGTACAGTCTCACACACAAACCTTGAGACCGTTACAGTGTCACACACCAACCTTGAGACAGGTACAGTCTCATGCACCAACCTTGAGTCAGGTGCAGGCTCATGCACCAACCTTGAGTCAGGTGCAGGCTCATGCACCAACCCTAAGACTGGAACAGTCTCCTGCACCAACCCTCGGACAGGTAAAGTGTCATGCACCAACCCTGGGACAGATACAGTCTCATACACAAACCTTGAGACAGGTACAGTCTCATACACCAACCTTGAGACAGGTACAGTCTCATGCACCAATCCTGAGACATGTACAGTCTCATACAACAACCATGAGACAGGTAAAGTCTCATAAAACAACCTGAGACAGTTACAGCCTCATGCACCAACCCTGGGACAGGTACAGTTTCATGCACTAACCTTGAGAGATGTACAGTCTCATGCACCAACCTTGAGACAGATACAGTCTCATGCACCAACCTTGAGTCAGGTACAGTCTCATGCACACACCCTGAGACAGGTACTGTCTCATACAATAACCCAGAGACAGGTACAGTCTATTGCACCAACCCCGAGACAGGTACAGTCTCATGCACCAACCCTGAGACAGGTACAGTCTCATGCACCAACACCGAGAGAGATACAGTCTCATGCACCAACCCCGAGACAGGTACAGTCTCATGCACCAACCCCGAGACAGGTACTGTCTCATGCACCAACCCTGAGACAGGTACAATATCATGCACTAATCCTGAGACAGGTACAGTCTCATGCACCAACCCTGAGACAGGTACAGTCTCATGCACCAACCCTGAGACAGGTACAGGCTCATGCACCTGAGACAGTTACAGTCTCATGCACCAACCTTAAGACAAGTATAGTCTCATGCACCATCCTTGAGACAGGTACAGTCTCATGCACCAACCCTGAGTTAGATACAGTCTCATACACCAATTCAGAGAGAGGTACAGTCTCATGCCCCAACCCTGAGACAGGTACAGGCTCATGCACCAACCCTGAGACAGATACAGTCTCATGCACCAACCCTGAGTTAGATACAGTCTCATACACCAATTCAGAGAGAGGTACAGTCTCATGCCCCAACCCTGAGACAGGTACAGGCTCATGCACCAACCCTGAGACAGATACAGTCTCATGCACCAACCCTGAGTTAGATACAGTCTCATACACCAATCCAGAGACAGGTACAGTCTCATGCACCATCCCTGAGACAGTTACAGTCTCATGCACCAACCCTGAGTTAG